ACAACACAGTGTTAGGAGCATAGGGCTCTATTCACTAACCCTCTGAGTCATCCCCTCTCACAGCAACACTCTCTCACATGGCACAGGCATGGTGGGGTCTCTGTGCTTTCATATAAACAGGCAGAGACAACACCTGAATCACCATGGGGCCCCTGACCTCCAGCAGCCCAATCCATATGAATTTGTAATCGTGAATTAATTCACACTTTGATGGTTATGCTTATTGCAGGCCAGATGGTCTTCTAATATCTATGATTCAGCTATTAGTTAACCATCAAAGCCTTAAGAACTGTATATATGGGTCTTAGGGTTGATTTTATTTAATGTCTTGAACAAGATACTAATGTAAAGTTAATTTAGAGCAGAAACAACTCTTCCTGTCTGCTGTATTCTCTTTTCAAAGAAGCTCCGTCCATGTTAAAAGTGTTACAGATACATTTGATGCAAGGGGTCAGCTCCAAATTTAGAAACATTTGAATATTAATTAAATAATTTTAATCCAGCTGGTGTCCTCTATTATATGACCAGCAATATGCTCATTTCATGCCTGGCAGTTGGCCGCTATATTTGGAAAGTGGTACAACACAAACGTTTGTGTGTTAGTTTAACTAGTCGACAGTAAACCATTCCACCAGGTATATTAAACTGCAGGTAACCATAGCAACATACTGCCGAGTAATGTGCAATTCATGCTACGAAACCAGTAAACACTCCCTGGCGAAATGGACGTAGAGTAATAAAAGGGTAAACTAACAACAAACCTTTAAAGCTGCATAATTATAGTTTTATATCAACCAATAACAAAGGATTCAAAGACGGTGTTTACTGTGCTCATAGTAACAAACCAACATACAATTAAAACCCAACTCTACGGAGCGTTTTAGCATCTTCAAGCTTAATTGTTTTAGTTTTATGGCCCACAGTTTCATTTCATTCTCATTTCTCTAATCAACTTGTTTCCAGCCACAGCCAGCAGCTGTTCACAGGGAAAATGGCCTGATGAACCTACTGTACGCTGCCAACCCAACCCCAGAGGAACGATAGACAAAGTTAGCTAATAGCTTTTGAACAAAGTGCACCAATGGGCTGTGAATGAGTCACATATTGGATGAACATATAACAACGTATACAACACGGTAGCAGCAGAAAACTGACAAATGATCATGTTACAAAATTCTTCCGACAAAAGCTATAAAAAATAACTGCCTAATTACTGTATACATTCAGAATCTACATTAGTATTCATCTTCAGCTCTGCTCCACCGAATCCAATATCTTGCTCTCTAGTTGCATAATGCTAAGTTACCATCAAATGCTAGCTTGGTTAGCAATGTTCATGTGTATGTCTTTTCAATTTTTAACTGTGATATTAATTTGGAAAGCAAAAATCAGGTTCAAAAGAAGGACGATTATTACTGAGGTTATAAATCAAGAAGTCGGGTCATTTTTTTCATTGACTTCTAAACAATTTAGAATTAGCAACAAGTTGAGTGGCCATTAAAAAGAATGCAGCTTTAAGACATTCCTGCATTAGCTTAATTGATCAGGTTCCCACTTGGTACCTTTACTGTGACCATGAGCCCATGCAGACAACAGTTTTCAGAACAGAACCTGATTGTATAACAGCCTACCTGTTGCGAGCTCCTTCCTCTCCATGCACCTCCTCCTTCTGTTCAAGAACAGTAATTCCTCCATTATGAACCTCCCCCTTAATCACAGCAGGGGCAGCTTTCCTTGATAATGGATGTTCTTCATTTTCTGTGTGGAAGGTATTGGGCGGATGGGGTTCCTCCAAGTCATCTTGTCTCCCCAAACTAAACTGAGAGGAAGAGGAAGATCAGTGAGAGGGGAGGAACATGCTTGGACATACCTAGTTCAAGCGGGGAGTTGAGAAACGTTACATTGTACAGGTCCCATGGTTCCTCAGTCCTATGTTACCTGTGGTTGGATATCCGGTCTCTCTTTGGAGGCGGACCCTGCCTGTCTGTCCGTCTCAGAATCGGCCTCTTCCTCATCTACCTCTTGGATGGTGGGCGTTTCTTCGGAGGGGGGGAGAGAGGTCCTTCTTTTTTTCCGTTTCTTTTTGTGCCGTCTTTCCATGCTGTGCACCCTCTTGCGTAAACGCTGGGCCAGGGGTAGGTGGGTGGATAAGGGGTGGTGCGTATGGGGAAATGTGTGTCTGTGATCTGTCAAAATGAAGAATCAGATACAAATACATCACAGTAAATGTTAAGTCTACTGAATTTGTAGAGGTACTTGTACTTTGCTTGAGTATTTCAATGTTTTGCTTCTTCTACTCCACAACAATTCAGAGGTAAATGGTGTACCGTTACTCCACTACATATATTGAATACCTTTAGTAACTTTGCAGATCTGGATTAAGGATGGGAAATAGAATCAACAAAAAACAAATTGATAAAATCAATGCATCAATAATTGTAATCAAAACATATCATACATATTGTTCTGAAATGAACCAATCTGCAGAATGACTACTTTTACTTTTGGTACTTTGAGTATATTTTGATGCTAATACCTTTGCACTTTTATTTGAGTAACTTTTTGAATGCTGGGCTTTTACTTGTAACAGAGTATTCCTACACTCTGGTACTTCTTCTTTTACTCAAGTACAAGATCTGAGTACTTCTCCAACCGCTGGTCTGGATGTAACAAAAGAAAATAACTTACACCCAGGAGACCGGAGTTTACGTCTCATGTGAAACCAATAGTCAAGTTGTGTATAGTTTTGTGCATAACTTAAACTAAGTAGAACTGTATAGTATAGTATATTTGTCTAATATCTAGTCAGAATATGTCTTTACAATTGATATAAGACATAATAACTTAAGAAGTAACAATGCAGTGAGATATACGGTCTTGTTTTTAGACAATGCATCTTAAGTATCTTCAAGACTCTTCTAAACATCTTAGTTGTATCTCAGATGAAACCATTTTTTTTAAGCTGCTGTGATATTTGTAAAAGATGGATCATCTTGTTCTAAGAAATAAATTGTATTAATCTTGTTTTTATTTTGTAATAACATTTCCTGATTCTGGTAAATATAGTTCAAAATATGTTTTCCAAGCTAATTACAAGATCTCATTTATCTAAATATCCCATCTTATTTCAACAAATCGTACTCAGCAAGTGTTCACTACACAGCTATTACAAGCACCTTGTTTTTATTATTATTTGACTTGATTTTGGAGCAAAACATTTTCGAACATAATGAGCTTAACCACATAACAAACATATACTAATTTTAAACCAAATCATAATCTTTGCCTAACCCTAGGAGGTTTATGTTGTTATGTTGCCTTAACCACACCAGGTTTTTCCCTGTCAACACAGAGGTTTATTTACAAAAGACAAGTATTTTATGAGTTGGGAGTTAGACTGCGTTAGTGCTTTGCTTTTTAATGCATGTGACATCTAGCTGAACAAAGTATGGGAGAAGTATATAGTATATATTTCTATGAACAGCCGGCACATCATTGTTTTTTTGTGCTTCTGATATGAAACACAGTTGACACTGCAAATAGTAATGATCTCTCCTGAGGCTGACAGCAGCATTATCAGGGGAGGTTATTATTCTGAGCTTTATCTCACAGCCTGTCACTCATCTACAGGGTTTCCACCAAACCCTGTGGATATGAGATGTAAACGGCTGAAACATTTATAAAAAATATGAAATATAAAATAATGATACAATATAAAAAATGTGAGGGCAAATATTACTAACAAATATATTGGAAGAAAATCATTCTTACGCAGGTAGCTTGCTTTCTGATTGTAATGTGGATTAATACTCATCACTGGGTTACAGAGCACTTGATGAGTTATTGTGCAGTTGTAGGTATAATGAGTATATAGTATTTGTACACAGTACATGGTAGCTCTGCTTACATTCAAAGTCTTTCTCGGTGTAGTTCCGGCCCATCCTGTCTCCGCTGGTGGAAGCAGAGTCACTGAGGATGTCTGCAAAGCGCTCCACAGACAGAGCTTTCTCCCAGTTCTCCTCCTCCTCTTCCTCCACTGATCCTTCATCATCTTCCACCTCCACCTTCACCTGGAGGATGGAGACAAAGAGTAAAAGGTGAAGTCTATGAAAGGGGCCCTACCATGCTTTATGTGTTTTTTCCCTTTCCTGTAGTGTTCTATAGGTTTCTGTGCGTTTCTGTGCACTCCAGAGGGAGTTTCTCTCCCACACACTCCCCCGACTGAAATGGCTCCATTTAACTTGTTTGTTTACATCTGTAACATAGTGACAACACTATATAACACTATGTAGCGCTCCAACACCTTGTATGTGATAGGCTAAGGGGGGGGGATATCTCTAAGTGGTTGACCAATCACAACAGAGACGGCCAGCTAACCAATCAGAGCAGACTGGGCTCTGGTTTCAGACAGAGGGTGAAAAGAGGTGCTGCAGTCTGAGAAAAACAAAGAGCTTGTTGAACATTAAAGCATGGAGACATGTCACAGTCGAGGCACAAAATACAAATATGAACCTGAACATCAGCGTAATATGTCACCTTTAAAAGGTGAATTATTTAAAGAGAGTGCTTGAAGGTACAGTAGTACTAATCAAGATGAATATAAAACAAACAAATGAGGGGAGTTCCATCACTTATTCTACAATATGTTTGTATTATTTGAAAGACACTGCATGCAAGTAGTTAAAATTGTGGATTTGGGATGGCAAAAACACTAAACGGGTGCCCGTATTGTGCCACAACCCAACACAGATGGCCACGATCCTGTTTTTTGCTTTTGTTTCTCATAGAAAAACCTCAAAACTGTATTGTGCAGTAATTCTGTTTCAGCACAACAGGCACATAGTGTTTGTACATCCTTCACTTCATGTATAGAGGACAATAAATCAATACAACAAAGTGCTAAGCAGCAAATAGCTAATGCACTTGACAGGCCCTGGAGACTATGGAGGCTGAAGAGGAGGGAGGGTCCTTCCAGAGCCGCTTGGGGCTTCTGATAGGTCAAATCAGCGGGACAGGCCTCTCCCTATGCTTCAGATTGGTGCTGGCAAGGTAAGCGCTCTGGCTCTGTGGTGTCCGATTTCTCTGAGCCATGGCTCCATTACCCCCTAATTACCAGTGGGATGAAGGGACAGGATGCGTTTAATGATCGGAGCTACCTATCCACACAAAGCCGAGGCAGATGAAGCCAGACAGAATACAAAAGGGAGAATTTTAAATTGAGTGAGCAGTAAAAGCCTTGTTTTCACTCGACAGACAGCTCAATTTTGCTGAAGGTGTTCTATATTCCCGAGATCCAGTTTAATTTCAACATCTCTTAACATCCTCCCCACATTACTTTGCTCTGGTAGTCCCTGTGTTTCAGTGTAAGACTATGAATGTAATAGTCCTAATGTAATGCATGAGGGAATATTTCTGTGAGCTGTGGCAGGTATTACAGTCAAGGGATTTGTTCTAAACCTGCTTTTGGTTTTCACTAGCTCTATTGGTGCAGATGACTCTTTCATGTCTGCTTTGAAGTCAGCGGGGGTGCAAGGACACAGGAGGAGGTCAACCCAAGCCCAGGTGGCCGAGGTACTGTGTCAGTAAGATTAGGAGGATGGACAATGGGAAAACAACGATTCAAATATAGTACAGTTATCTATAGTAGCAGCAAAAGGAAATACGATATTTAGCTATGGTAACACGGTTTGGTTGCTAACAAAATCGAATTTCCCCTGGGATAAATAAAGTATTCTGATAATGTTTTTGTTTCTTTGTGTATCAACCTAATTCAAACAGGGTCTTTTTCAGCGCTGCCTTTGGTTTAAACACCAGAGAGTACATGTTGAAACCCCATGTCGTCAGCCCAATTCCTCAAATTGATTGGACTCATTCCCTTATGTCCTTGAGGTGAAGATGAGTTAACAGAGGAGAAATAATTGTATTTTCTGCTTCACAGTGTTTTTAAAGCCACCTTGTGAATTGTTGGGGGGGTTAATCTCTCAGTTAACTTTTACCTGACGAGTTTATGGTCTCAATTGCTCCGGACTTTTTTAATACAGCATGATGTTGATTTTGTAAATGATGGTCCAATTACAGTATAGTAGACATTAAAGGTCACCTATTATGCAAAATGCACTTGTTGATGTCTTATATGTGTCAGTGTCCCCGGTGTGTAAGGAGACTCACAAAGTTTCAGAAAATACAACCCTCTCTCTTTTCCTCCTTACCCACATCTCTAAAAATGGGGATACAACTGAGCTGATCCAGATTTGCTGCAGTCATGACGACATTACTAAAATGTGGGCTGGCTCTACATTGAACCTCTGGCAACGTTCCACCCATGTCCCAACCTATCGCCCCCATGTACAGTCGCTAGCTGAATCCCCGCACTCAGCTGTGTTTCTGTGTATTCAGCAGGATGTCTAAGGGAGGGACTTAGAGTAAAGTTGTTATATATATAATACATATAATGGAACTGTTCTCACGATAAACACTGAATAAAGAACATGTCACGCTATGTGCTGTATCAGAAACAATGCGCAACCTGTTTTGGAAATAATATGGTCTGTGTTTACATTATACATGGCCAGCAGCAGCTCTGCAACATGAGGGCCAGACCCAGAATTAGCACTTTTGTAACAGGGTTACGGTGATGTCCTGATGACTACAGTCTACTTTTAACTAACGTTTGTGTTACGCATAGGAACATTACCTCTAAATCAAGCCTTGGGCTATTCAAGCAACTCAAACTATTTATATTGCAAATATAATAGTTGTATTAAACATGGAAATATTGACTACTGTCAAAATCTGCTTTGCTGTTTTTGTATGATTAGTCGTTCCACAGAAAGTGAATTGCAGCTAAGAATGTATTTATCCTTAAAAGCTATTTTAACCACAAAAGCAACACATTTACTGGTTTCTACTCCTCAAATATGAATATTAGCTGTTATTATTAGTAATAATAATATTAGTTTTCTTCATCTTTTTCAATAATAAACTAAATGTTTAAGTATTGGTTGGACAAAACGGCATGGGGAGACCTCACCTGGGACTCTCTCTGACATCTTTTCATCCTTCTAAATGAGTGGATCTCTTGTCATGATGTATAAACCAATTGGTACACAAAACATTTATTTAATACATTTTCAGTCTGATGTGTTGAATGCCACAAATAATATATTAATATTGTCATAATGAATGCTGGATAAGGGCTCTCCTCTCACTATGTTTACTCTGTGGGTTACCATCAAACACAATGATATTTAATGCATAACAGCTCAATTACTGTGGCTGGGTTGGCCACTTATCAATTATGAGGAGTGGAGGCTTCAGAGTGATCATTCTGAGCCACTGTTGGGTTAAAAACATGCTGCCCAACCTTTTATCATGAACAGCCCAATTTCTAAAGCCACATCAATATTTCATATTTAATGGAATGCTGAGCCAGAGAGCAGTATTGAAATATTCATCAGCTGCTGACTCATATGATGGAGGGTGTGTGTGTGTGTGTGTGTGTGTGTGTGTGTGTGTGTGTGTGTGTGTGTGTGTGTGTGTGTGTGTGTGTGTGTGTGTGTGTGTGTGTGTGTGTGTGTGTGTGTGTGCCTTGTTTGTACAGTAGTGATCAGTAATGAACCGTATTTAAGGATTTATCTATAAGACTAAAGATGTGTCAGGATGGGTATGGGGATTAAATGCAATGATTGTATGTACTGTATACCAATTCCATTATCGATTCCTCTTATCAGTCAGAATCTTGATCGATTCCCTTATTTACTCCTGTTGACTGGAACAACAGAACATACAGCTCAGGCTTTTTACTTCATTTTTACTTTTTTGTATTATTTTGTGTGGTTATTGGCCATTCAACACATAATTCAAATGAAGAGTAAATCAATTATTTTATTTTTCTATTTTCAGGGTTCTTACACCTTTTCCAAAGTCAAATTCAAGCACTTTTCAAGCATTTTCAAGGTGCATTTTCAAGCTTTTCAAACATTTTACAGCTGTTGTAAATTACATATTTATACACATACTTATACTCAAATGATTATTTCCCTACCTCACATTAAATCAGATGTTATTTATGCTATAAACAACCAAGGACTTGGACAACCAAGGACTGTTGACCTCTGGGTGAGTGCTGCTTCCTACCTTCACTGGACTAACAATGGCTAATCCCAAACTGTACTGCTTTTTCCTTGCGTTATTCGCCACCTCCCTACCCCCTCCTGCGCATAACAAATGCGAACCGCCACTACTATCATGTGTGATTATGAGGTCTCTACACAAGATGATTACGTTACATTCCACTGTCAATGTGTGCACAAAACAAACTAAGCATTGACTCACTGTTAACTCTTGGCCGTGCTCTGATTGTATTACTACTGATGATATCGGGCAATGTGCATGTTCATCCTGGACCTTCTATTGTATGTAGCCCTAGTTCTGACCTGTGCCCTGATGTCAATCTTTGTCACAATGATCTGAGTTTCCCTGACTTCTGCTCTCGTAAAGCTTTAGGTTGTTCACAGCTCAAATCCGGAGGTACTTGTCATCAGGCCGGAGCGGAGCTGTTTTATGTAAAAGCGAAGCAATTAAGCGCGCTCCGACTTCTTTATTTTCTTTTAATCTAAAAAGCGAAATTCAAGCACGAACCCTGAAAATACTAATGCCAATATTTTTTTGGCCGCAAATATTTAAAGTAGCAAAACCCTCCATCATTGATCTATATACATGTCTGAGTGAGTGAGTGAGTGAGTGTGAGAGAGAGAGAGAGAGAGAGAGAGAGAGAGAGATAGAGAGATATAGATAGATTGATTTGCATAAGAACTGGTAAGATAGCAGGGTTTCCCACACATACTTTACTTGGGCGGGCCGCCCGGGTATATTAACGGCCGCCAAAGTATAATTCGCGGGCCATTTAGGTTTCATTTTTTTAATCCGTCCGCGACCACGACGGCATCTGCGATCCCTCGCTCTACCCGGGCTATCGCGTGAAGGGTCTGCTTTATGTGCTCCACACAGTAACCCTGCTGCGAGGCTCCGGCAAACAGTTCATGAGCGTGCTCACGAGCGCACCTCCCCC